CACAGTTGAAAGTGTTGTAGGTGAATTGCAGGTGTGTGGAGGATAATTGCAAAAGCTGATGTGGCACAATTGAAAGTGTAAATGGATTGCAGGGATGTGGATGGTCTAAGTTTCATCTAAATATTTCATAACATAATATAGATTTATATGTATATATTAATGGGCACATGCAAATGATAACGGTGAATATTTCAAGAACCAGAAAATAAATATTCTTGATTATTCATGATGAATATGGTGAAAATATTCATAATAAATATTATGAATAATAAAAATGCATGATGCTCATGAAATAATTAGTTTCCACTTCCCAAATTCTCGTTTGAACTCGACTCTTATGTTAACATGTTATAATTATCTTAGTGTAAGAAGCTACAACAACAAGAGGGTTTTAACAAGCAGTCCAGAAATGTTAAGATAGTGAAATGGAGGTGAGGGAGACATTTCAACAGTTTGTAGGTAAAAAGGAATATTGTAGCTAAGCAAACTGGACCCCTCTAAGCCACAAGGGCCACAACCTCAGGCATGGAGATTGGATTCAATCTACAAACAATATATATAGCATTTGTTCGATGTTTGTTCTTTATTCTCCCCACCCCATAAAATATTTGACTTGTTTAATCCACTTTTCCCACCATAGCTAAATTAATACAACATTACATTAAACAACTATACTTCTTTTTATATCTATAGTTCCACCTAAACTAGATCTCTACCATCCTTTTGGGCATTTGGGAAAAAAAAGGAGAATTAGTTTGTAACTCAAAGGACAATGGTTAAAAGATTAGATCACTCCAACCCTTATACACACACACACATATATATATAGCTAGGGAACCGGTGCATCATGTTCTATTTCATATAATTTTCCTCATCTATTACTAGAATTTAATGTAATGATATAACATATATTTGTTTCACATATACTCCGTTTACAATTTGAACTTTTTTGACGTGATTGTAAAACAAAAAATAACGTAAAAAAGTCTTATATTGTGAATCAAATACATATATGAAACAAATATATGTTAATAAAACTATAAGATACAAGTTCTCTCGGATCTCATAAATTTTGGAGTTATAAAATATATATATACATGATTCTTCATTATAGTAAATTAATAATAGTTTAGTTGGTTTTATTGTTTGAAATTTTCTATATTCCTCTACTACTAACATTTCTTGCTACATGTTTGTTTAATCACAACCCAAGTTTTTGTTTTACATATCGTGTAGGGTCAATAACACATTAACAATTGGGATGTGATCATGAGCTATCATTTGCTTTTTTTTGAGAGAGGGACAGAGTACGTGAGAAGGACTACACAAAAGTAAGTCGTTTTCTCGAAGCTTTTGCAAAGCTCAATTAGAAGGTCATCATATTGGATGGTGTTGAAAGGAATACACGTGTGAACAAATAACCTGAAGGGAAACTGGGTAATATGGGATCAATAGTTCGTATAACTAGCAGTTTACAAAAAATATGGGTGAATAATTTAATATGCTTCATTATAGTAATAGACTCTGATGGTCCAAACCCAAGTACTGGCAGATTTCTCAGGAATCAAGACAGAATGTTTCAGATTGGCATGTGTGTATTGACGACCAATCATGAAATCTATACATGAGATCCGGTAGAAATTAAGGTAGAAATTAAGGGTTGTTTGGTTGGTTTTTTATTAAGTTTTTTTTTTTATGGATAAAAATGTATCTATGTATGTATTAATCTCTTAGTATAGATAGGGAAGATTTCTTTTGGGTTTTTCTGATCATAGATAAAATAAACATCTTTTTTTTAATTAAGAGCAATGACTTTCTATGTAAAGCTCTCATTAAAAGCTTACTGAATAAGCCACTTTATACATCACTAACTCATTATCAAACAATTATGTATGACTGACTAAAAATATGCGGTAAGTACCATTAGACTAATTAAGCTGATAAGAAATATGTCTATAACAGAGACTAATAAGTGTAATTGTATGTATGAAAATGATGAATAATGACTGTACCTCAGCCTTGAGCTTTTCGTTTTCCTTGACCATGGAGTCAAAGTCGGTTGTGAGGGTATCATAAGAAGATCTGAGGCGATCGTAATCCTTTTCAAGCGTCTTTGTCTTCCACCGTGCACGGCGGTTCTGGAACCAAACAGCCACCTGTCTCGGCTGCAATCCTAGCTTCTTTGCAAGCTCTGTCTTCCTCTCCGGCTCCAGCTTGTTCTCTTCCTCAAAACTCTTCTCCAACATGTGTACCTTAATCGTTTCAGTCATTCAATCAAACCATATATCAGATCCATGATCGATCTAGCACTTTTTATATGGCAATTACTATTAAAAATAATTTAATGATTCGAGTGTCAATATCAATTATTCGGGAATCGTATGCGTAATAGTACATCAGACCTGTTCAGGGGTGAGACGCCTCTTTTTTTCCGTCGATTGTTCGTCGTAGTATTCTTCTTCCAACATGTCGTCGATTGAACTCAAAAATGGCCTCTTCTTAGAAGCTTCCTCCATGTTGAATCCTATTCTCGTCCCTGTTGATTTGCATCCTCTTATAAGTCACATCGTCAAAGACTTAATTAACAGATCAGTTAATTAGCCTGGTGTTTGAAAACATAATCATGCTCGATATGCATTCAGTACAATTGATTAATGGATGCAGCAAATTCAACCTCCATATGCAACAACTGCTGAAAATTACTTGCAGGAGTAACAATGAGTAAACACAGATTTCGATTGCATATATATAATTACATAAACAGAAAAGGAAATGCAACAATTACCGGCAAAATAATTGTCTCCATTCCCGAGGAAAAGCATGTCGCTACTGTTGCAACCGAAGAAAAGACGACCAGATTCCATATCGAAAAAGCTTCAGATTGTCTGTGACTATTTGTATTAGAGATCTCCGACGGTTACTATATATAAATATATGTATATATATTTAACTGCTGAAGAATCAAGAACCCTAGATCAGAGTTCACGCAAAATACTGTCGATATATATACGTAAGCGCATATAACCGAGGTGATTATCTCTTAGAAAATCATGATCTTATGGCGGAAGAAGCTAGTACTCCAGAGCAATCTTGCCGGAGACTCTAACGGACATATACAAAATCCCATCATGCGAACGTCCCCCTTCCCAGTGTGTCCACCGGTAAACTACTTTTCCCGGTGAATCTAACAGGAAACTTAATTTTGGATTTATATGTTAAGTAGAAAATATATATGGTCGGAGACGGTAGGAATTTCACCGGAATATAAGACCCCGGCGGCGTGGGGCTGATCGGTTTTTTTCTCAGTTTTGCAACCGGAGTTGATAGAGAGGAGCCCCCCTGCAATTTATACAGATGGTTTGCATTATGCCCCACTGTTTTTTGGATATCTGTACTTTTTACCCTGTAGTTCTAAAATTGTCATTTTAGATCCTTTTACTTTTTGATGTTTGCAATATCAGTCCCTTATATGACTTAAGGATTCCTCTTCTCTATTTAATAAAAGATGTTTATTTTCGCCTAAATATATAGATTTCCAGACTTGGGTTCACGTGAGATCAGCCTATTTTCGTGAGACTCATGAGACCACTTTTTTAAACTTGAAACTTCACAACAAAACGCTGTGAATGTAACTTTCACAGTGTTTTTGCTGTGAAAGTTCGACTTATTTTTATCTTTATAACGTTTTGTTGTGAAATTCAAGTGTAAAAAAATGGTCTCATGGTACTCACAAAAATAAGTTGTTCTCACGATGAACCTAACCCTAGATTTCCATATATTATATAATATTTTTTCAATTTGAATATGATTGTATTATCTCATATATTTTAAAATAATTTTCTGTTTTTCTATTTTATTTCGTTTAAAATAACTGTTTGTGTACAAATTTAATATATTTTTTTGATTTTATTATTAGTAATCAGATGAACATAATTCATTATTATCTGCTATTGAAAATAAAACTGTCATTTGGTTAATTAAAAATTGTAATAATTACACATTTTTAAAGTTGTATGTTTTTCTTCATTATGAACATTTGTTTTTGGAGTGGTAAAAGTATGTAAAGATATTGTTTTTGCATAACAGTATACCATGTAAAGAGATTAATGACTCGTTTTATCTTAAAGTATGAGAGTTTTTTAGTAAATAATAAGGGTGTTTGCACTGTTGTTTAGGCCAGGGACGGACCCATTAATTTTTTTTCAAATGGTAGCACCATTTGACTATAAGAAACAAATGTGGGGAAATTTTTTCAAACCGTGACACCATTTGACTAAAAAAATGACGCTAACATGATTCGAACTCGAGTCTGGGGTGGAATAAGAGTCTTACAAACTAACTCTATCAAAGAAAACTTGTTCACATTGTAGTTTCAAAATACATATGGTGGCACACAACAAATTAATATGGTTGCACATTTCACGAACCTAAATTTTTTTACCCCTTCGACGGAAAAATAATACGGTGGCACATGCCACTGTTGGCACCACTGTAGGTCCCCGTCCATGGTTTAGGGCCAAATTATAAATAACACTATAAATGCGGTTTGAAGATTTTTCCAAACCGTAAAAAACGCACCACATGCATCAAACCAGAAAAAATATCACTGCGAAATATGGTGTTGTTTGTATCTAACGAATTTCAAACCAATAATCATAAAATTACAACTTTGAAAATAATTCGAAGATCATATTTCCATATTCCATATAATAACAAGTTCTAATACGTATGAATTTGTAACGTAATTAACTATTTTCATTTGATAAATAATTATGTATACATAATATATTTTAAAATACATAAAAAGTACTGCAGTCTGGTACAGTTTGAACCGTGTTTTGATGATTGAAAACAACGAACTACAACATGAAAGTTCTAAACAACAACCACAAGTGTGATGCCTGATTGGTTTAAGCTTGGTCTCCAAAGGTCAAAGGTGCATGAAAGTCTCATATTCAAATCCAAGGAAGAATAAAAATCTCTTTGTGGCCACAAAGGTTCAAAGACGGTGACTCTGGGCTACTCACAAAGTAGATGGTCGTCCTGGAATTAGTCGGCTTACAAAGGATATTGTTTATCACGACTGATTTATTGCGGTCACGATTTGTTGGATCAGTTCAGCTATAGCCTAGGACTCTCTTCCAAAAAAAGTTCTAAATAGCATGTTGCAATGCAACGTGTGCAGCTTGTACAATTTAATGTTTTAGATGAACACCCATAACGATTAAATAGAACTAAATCGATACGAAGCCAAAAAAACTTAACAAGTGCAATCAAGGAGCTACAATACGAAAACACTTTGTTAGAAGTAAAGGGTGATATTTGCATATTTAAGCAAACATGAGGGGTATAAACTGTCAATTCTATTAAATTTGGGTCCTCCTCTTTCAAAAAAAAATTGTATCTCCAGCCCATTTAAAATATAATATTCTGTTAATTGGAAAAAGGGTAATATCGTCATTTTAGATTCCTTTATAGTGTAGAAGAAGACTAAAATGGTGGGGTGCGTTACTAACTTGCGCCGAAGGCGACGTGTGTAAGTAAGATTGAATCTGGGCCGTCGGATGAGAGGCGCATTGGAAGGAATCGGTAAGTTAGCGCCAGATCATTATAGAGAGAGAAAGGTGCGCCATTATTTATAGTTGCCATGCTCTATGGTCGGAGAAAATACTATAAAATTTTGGTTCCCTTGGTTCCAATAAAAATATTTTTGAAATACTTAATAAATTCGATTAATCCAGTAATTGCTTGCTGATAAAATTTAATATTATTATTACTTACTAGTAAAATTTTAGTAAGTAAAACTGTCATTTTATACAACAATTTATCTGGTAAACATTAACCGTAATAAGAGGAGTTGTTCTTATACCGGGTAAGATTTTTGGTCGTTTTATATTAATCCAGTAAAGTAATGTGACTTAGTACGTACTTACCAGATAAGTGTTTGGTAAACGACACCGTAACAAGGTTTAAGAATCTTACTCGGTAAGTAAGAGATAAGACTTCTGCCTGATAAGCGCTAACCTAAGTAAAAAGACACTTGCTACAATTTATTTTTGACGGTCGAGAATGTTACCTGATAAAGTAAATGAAGTGGTGACTCTTTCCGACAAGTGTTATTAGGGGTGCCCATTTTTTTTACTATCATAAACCAACCAATTCTTATACCAACTGTACCAAATTAATTGGTTGGTAGTACCGTACCAACTATTTAAACTTGGTAGGTATGTAGTATTAGAAATCATGTATCACGGTAATACTATACCGTACTGATTTAATTGATTAATTAATTAATAATGCATTTTGATTTTAAATTATGTTATTTTAAATTTTGCTAAATTATAATATGGATGGATATATAGAACTTGATTGAATTCACTCAGCTAACTCTGTATTAGACTATTAGCGAATGCTTGTACAGGTAGGGATAAATGGTAAAACACATATCAACATGTTATTTGAATACTCGATAGTTGTAGTGCATTAAATCGGTTGGTAAAGATGTCAACTGAAATAAATATGTAAAAAGAACCGAACCTTCACAGGGAAAACACTGTGAAGGTTACTTCCATATGTTTTGTTGTGAAGTTTCAAGTATAAAAAATGGTTTTACGAGTCTCACAAAAACAAGTTGGTCTCACGAGATCCCAAGTCTCTCACCCTATATAATTTTTGTAAAGAATTATTTGATTTGCTAGATCTATAAAATTTAATTTACACCATAAAAATAAATAAATAATGATAAAAATGGTTTATCCATGCATGTTAACTCACACATGCCAACAAGGCTTGTCTCTTATCCACATTATTGTCCCCTATTTAACAAAAGGAATATTAATCTTAGTGTAATTTTTTATTTTTATTTTTATTATCTCTAATAATTATGTTTGTTTTTTAAAAAATTAATGATTTTGCAAAAAAAATTATAATTATGCTAAAATGTACTTTAAAATAGATAAAAAAAATATAAAAAATGAAAAATCTCTACATTTAAAAAAAATATAACATACTTGTCGGAGAATGTATCTCCTTCCAGATTCAAGAACTCAATTTTGTTTTCATTTTTTGATTTTGTTTTCGTTTTCGTTTTTTTATTTCGTGTTTGTTTTCGATTCAAGAACTCGATTCAAGACTTGCACCTCCTTCCTCGATTCATAAACTTTTGAAGTTTCTGAGGTTCGTTTCCGTTTTCGATTTTGATTTCATTTTCGATTTCGTTTTCATTTTCGCTTTCCTTTGAAGTTTCTGATATTTTTTTGTTTATTATTGTCTATTTTAGATTTCGTTTTGATTTCGTTCCAGGTTTCTTTTGAAGTTTATTATAATTTTTGTTGTATGTTTTTTGTTCTAGATTTCATTCCAAATTTCGATTTCAAAACCCTCTTTACATATCTATTCCTTGTTCGTCTTTCCCAAAACCTAATTGTAACCCTCATCTCTCAAGTTCAGATTGTTCATACATAACTTAATTGAAAATTTGGTAAACAACCCCTAACAATGTTAAGTGGAGGGACCATGGGTATTATGGAAACGAAATGTTATGGACCACTAGTGTTGATAGTTTGTTTTAAGAAACAAATCTAAAATTTGAGCAAACCACAAGGGTGGTGCCTGAGTGGTTTGATCTTAGGCCATCCACACAGGGTTTGCAAAACCCTTTCAAAATGAATTGCAAATGGCCACCTCA